TTGTAGGCATGCCAGCAGAGAGCAAGTGTCCACTGCGCACGCAGGGCTTCTCCGACTCTGGGGCAGAATCTACGGAATATATATGTGTGTGTGTGTGTAGACACACACATCTATCTATCTGTCTGTCTATAATATAAAACCAGTGAATCTTTCCTCTGCTTTTGCAGAGAAAATACTGGTTATTTTAAGCAGCACTCCTTTATCTTTATTAGTCAGCCTTCTCAGAGGAAGTGTTGTATCCTGTGCTCGTGGAAACTCCTAGGACAAATGCATTAGGAATCGGTATTGTAGTGGCTGTCAGGTTTGGTGGACACATGCTTTTAATGGGCATCTGTGTAGTGGCAAGCTCCCAAGTCCTGCCTCGCCATGCAGCTGACCCACAGTACAGCCTGGGATCATTCCAGTCTCCTCTTTGGCGGTTCTCAAGGTCTGGTCAGGAATACAAAGGAGGTCTGTCCTGGACAGCGCAGGTGACATGTTTAATGTATCAGCATCTCCAAAGTGCCTGTCACTACAGCATCTAGGCGCAGATATAAAATAGAGGGTCACAGTGAGATCCCAGTAATGTCTATGTTCTGCTCTTCCATCCTCCAGTGCGAGGATTTGGAGGAAAGGTGGATATGTCGTCCGCAGCACTGCCACTTCCGCTCCAGCAGTGCCTCTGGTCTGAGCTGGTGCAGACGAGGCAGCATGGCCTTTCCATTTCTCTTTTGGAAGAAGCAAGAGTTAAAGTAGAAAAGTCTAAGCCAAGTTGTAGCTCGAAAGGCCAGCTTTGTTACGCCAAGTGAAACAACAGCATGTTAGACGTATGTTGAGGACAGTTTAAACACAGGGTAGCAGCTGAAGCTCAAACTGCAGTGGTTGTGGCCTGAAACCAGACACTAGGCTGTTTTTTCTGCATCAGGCAGACTTGGAATATGAGAAATGAAGCAGTATTTCAGACCTGGAGTGAAACTGGCTACTGGAGCAAGTGTGTTCCCGTGGACAGAAGGGTAACACGCACACATAATGACGGGACGTTATTTTTCCTTCTATGGTGCATTACAGTAGTTCTCCAACAAAAGGGATGGGGAAACGTGAATCCCAGGGGTTTTATGCAGACAAGGTTCTTTGGGTGAATCTGATATCTTTTATTAGATCAACTTAAATCGTTGGGAAAAGAAAATGTTTAGCAAGCTTTCGGGTTTAAAAGCCCTTCGTCAGGCTGAGGGGGTCTCCGCAGTTGGCGTGTGCTCTTCCTGGATGGAATGAATAGTCATGAGACCGTCATGAATAATCATGAGAATGAATAGTCATCAGACCATGAGGGCTTTCGTGTGCTGCTTCCAGAAGGGTCCTGCTCCTCCTCAGCTCCAGCTGGGAGAGCCTCTGTGGGGGCTATAAGGAAGGCCCCCTGCTCCCCACCATCCTGTGGGTGTGTCTGATGCATCTAGCTGTGTCTGATGCAGCATTTCTGTCTAGCCCCCTGCCCACAGCAGAGGGTTGGGCCCCCGCTGCACTTGCCCCCACACTCATGTACATCCCTCAGTCTCCTCGGGACCTGCGAGGACACCGCCGCCTCGCCGTTCCTCCAAGGCTCAGGGTGTTCTCGCTGTTATGTTGGGTGTTTTAGTGACCAGCGCTGCAGCTCCCTCTGAGAACATCTTCCTTGCTTCTCTTCTGGGTCAAACAACAGCACAGCTGCTTTTGGTGGGAGCACCTTCTTCTCCCCCGCGGACGTCAGTAGCAGAGCTCCCTCCTCTGTGACTGCTCAAAAAAGAGGAAAGGCTCCTTGGGATGTTGTTAGATCACCGTAACTTGCTTGTAACCGCCTTTCTTGGGGATAGACTTTCCAGGTTTGCAGTACTCCTCGAGCCTTTAAAATGCTTTGCACTTGAGCTCCCCTTTCTATGCGTGCAGCAGGTCTGTCGATGGCCTGCACGGTATCTGGGTCAGCAAGTAACAGCGTCCTCTCCCCACAGGCAGTCCTGCTAGCCACTGTATTTATCAGCCGGCTCGTTTTGCCATGCCCTGAGCATGCTCACTTCATCCTGATCGCACAGCTGTTACCTTTTTATGTCCTGGAGTGTTTTACTGGCTCAGATGATGAAAACGGTACAAATGATGCTGGAAAATGCGTGGTACGGTCTCATGAGCTGGAGCAGCATCACTGGAGGCGGCAGCGCACTTTCTAATGAATTGCAGCTCGCGCGCACAATTTGTGCATTTGTTTCTTTGGAGGGATCTTTGCCGGGTTCACCTCGGTGCCCTTCCACGCAGGTGGAGGGGTAGCCACGCTCGGTCCCAGTCCAGGCCTGTCTGTCCCAGCACAAACGGCTGCTTTTCTCGCACTCCGCAGGTTCTCCTTGGGGGGCTTTAGGGGGTACCAAGGCTCCAGCCCGGGCTCAGGCAAAGCACCTGGTCCCCAGGAAGAAATGTTATTGCAGTTCACGCCACAAACATGCCCGCACATGTGTCTACCATGTATCTTGGCATGTTTTCTGGAGACTAAGCAGCAATTAGACTCTTTCTTTGGAATCCATCCATTTCACACTGCCATTGTAGCCTGGATCTTATTGAAACTCTGTGTTTTTTAATATTATCACACTAAAGACTCTCTCCGTATCAGCATCTCCGTGGGGGAGCATTAACACGCTGTAATGTGTATCAACTTCTTCAGTTCAGGAAATCTTGCTGCATTTGTAATAGGGCATTTGGGGCATATATTATGTATGGGGCATATATTTCTCATTTCCACTAGGCATCATCTCTCTGTCTCTCTCTCTCTCTAAATAACTTTCCAAATCAAAAAAATGCATTATACTCCTGGCCATCCAAAATAATTTGTTTAAATCTTTAGACGCAGCAGCTGCCAGGATTAGCCGCAAATGAGACAAAAAGAGGCACCGGTGGGACAAAGAAGGACACGCATGCGAATACCCTGGCATTACCATTGCTTGGCCACAGCCAACAGCTTGTGCTTCACCAGAAAGGTGGCGGCCGTGGTAGCGCCCCCGTCTGAGAGGGACGCGGCCCGTGGCGAGGGGACGACCACGAGCGTTCCTCGCCCTTGCAGCGTGCTGAGTTCGTGCCACTGATCTGGATACGGCCATTGTCTGTGCTACAGCCCGTGTCCTCCGCACGGTCTGGCACTAGCAGCTCGACCTCTTGCACGCGTGCAAGGTCGGGGAGGGTCGCCCCACCCTGCCTGGGGAAGAGACCGGAGACGGAGCCGGGGACAGACGTGGGCAGGGAAGCCCAGCTCCCCCGCCCGCCATGCGCCTCGCCGCTCCAACACAGCCGGGGAAGGCGGCGATAAAGGGGACCATCGGGTCCGGACCGGAGAAGGCTGCCCCGCTAGGGAAGGCCAGGCCCCCCGTCGCATGGAAGAGACGTGGGCGCGCGCCCGCACAGGCAGGGCTAGCCCCCAGCGCGCCGGCCGATCCCGGCGGCAGGGTCCCCGCTCCGTTTGCAGCTCTTCCGGGAGCCCCAACCCGCCCGTGCCCTCGCGTGTGTCGGGTACGGGCTACGGCGTGTAGGCTCGACGGTGGGACGCGACCCTTGTGTTCAAAACCTCGCCGGACGCCGGCAGGAGCTGGATTCAACGGTTACCGTTGATTTGAATGACCGCCCCATCACGGGGCCTGCGCCGCACCACGCCACGGTGAGTGTGGCAGGTCTGGGCCCGTGGGCGGGAGGGCGCCCACGGAGGTGTCGTCACGCGGCGGAATGACAGCAGTACTGTGCGCCGCGTGGTGCGGGGATGGACTACACACACAGCGCTGCGGTGCCTGTGACACACGCCAATGTACCCGAGACACGTGCCAACATGCCTGTGACACACAATGCCGACATGCTCACGACACACGCCACCGTGCCCGTGACACGACACCAGTGAACCCACGAGATACACCGGGATGCTCGTGACACGTGCCGACGTGCCCGTGACACGGAACGCTGACGTGCCGGTGACGCAACGCCACCGTGCCGGTGACGCAGGCGGAGGTGCGGGT